CATAGAGAGACCCCAGACCCACAGCACCTGGATCACACACTGCCCTGGGGGGGCGTGTGGGTCAGGGGCTGCCCCATAGAGACACCCCAGACCCACAGAGACCCCGTAGAGAGACCCCAGGCCCACAGACAGACCCCATGGAAAAACCCCAGACCCACAGAGAACCCAAAGAGAGACCCCAGGCCCACAGACATCCCACAGAGAGACCCCAGACCCACAAAGATGCCAGACCCATAGAGACCCCACAGAGAGACCCCAGACCCACAGAGACCCCAGACCCACAGAGAACGCAGAGTGCCCCCAGCCTCGTAAGCGCCCCCAGCCCCACATGAAGCCCCCAGCCCCACATGAAGCCCCCCCAGCCCCCCAGGTGCCCCTCACCGGCCGTGAACCTGCGCTCCCGTTTGCTGTAGAAGTGCTGGTAGGACGAGATGACGATGGGGACAACGGGGACCTGTGGGGCAGGAGGGGCTCGGGGAGGGTCCTGCTGCCCCATAACCGCCCCACAGCTGCCCCATAACCGCCCCACAGCCGCCCCACGTACCTGGGCCTGCACTGCCAGGTGGAAGGCGCCGCGCTTGAAGGGCAGCATGGAGCCACTGTGGTTACGAGTGCCCTCGGGAAAGACCCACACCCGAACCTGTGGGGCAGCCCCATAACCATCCCAAAACGGCCCCATAACTGCCCCATAACCATCCCATAACCACCCCATAACTGCCCCATAGCTACCGCATAACCACCCCATAACTGTCCCATAACCCCATATCCAACCCATAACCCCATATCAGCCCCATAACCACCCCATATCACCCCATAACTACGCCATAATCGCCCCATATCACCCCACATCACGCCATAAGCGCCCCCCAGCTCACGTCCTGGCTCAGCACGGTGTGTGCAGACGCTGATGGAACATCAACCTCTGCCACCCCATAGCGCCCCATAGCGCCATAACCACCCCATAAGCGCCCCATAAGCGCCCCATAGCGCCCCCCAGCTCACGTCCTGGCTCAGCATGGTGTGCGCAGCCTCGGCCATGACGCTGATGGAACATCAACCTCTGCCAGCCCCATAGCGCCCCATAACCGCCCCATAGCACCCCATAACCACCCCATAAGCGCCCCATAGCGCCCCCCAGCTCACGTCCTGGCTCAGCATGGTGTGTGCAGCCTCGGCCATGACGCTGATGGCGTCGTGGGTCCGTTTGCGGTCGATGAAGATGATGCCCCCGAGCCAGCACACGACACCCACGGCGCCCATGTAGAGCAGCTCCCGCTTGGCAATGGGGACGCAGCGGTCTGGGAGCACCTCCATCATCCCTGTGGGGTTACAGAGCTATGGGGTGCCCCATAGACACCCTACAGACACCCCATAGCTGCCCTATAG